ATCCGCTCCGCACTAGCCGCAGAAACTACCGGTGTCCCAGCTTCCGTGCATTCAAATCGGGCTATACATATAAGCGCCTATTGACCATCGACGACAATCACTGACAAACAGAAATAAGAACAATTGTAAAACAACAACGCCAGCAGTAGCAGCAGACCTACCACAATAATAATAAAAGATAGGATTCGTGAAACTCATCGAAACGAGGATAAAGGGAAGCGCAAAGCACTATTATCCTGGAATAACGTCAGTGGCGGAATTGACAGGTCGCTTTCTGAAAATCCTTCTGCAGAGACAACATCGTCAAAGCAAATGCTATAACAACTCGAACGATGATAAGGCTAACAGAGGTGTCGCTAACTGAAACGCATGAAATACGTTGGTAGAGCGCCGGGCTACGGATTACTTTTGCTACCATCCGAGGGTGGCAACGATACGAGTTAGTATCGTTGCTCCTTTGTTTTTGTGAGATTCGCGCGCCCAACAGCGCGCTCGGCCATAACATACGGACAGCAGATCGTTAGGGACGGAACAAGCAAATCAATAGAAAACAACAGGCAAACTTGTCCAGATGATAGACAAAACAAAAAAAAAAAAGGACAAGAATAAAGCGAGAGCTGCGCTATTCAGCAGACGATAGTGTTTGCCATGACGACAGCGCTGGCGATGATAAGCATGAAGTGTGGCAACAGAAAAAAACAGCAAATAGGTTGGTAAAGAAAGCTGGAAACGACTCGTTCTTTATGAACGAAAGTATCGATTTATTGAGCCTAAGCATTAACTTCGATAAGACACCTTATTATAGTGAAAATAGTTAATTTGGGATACGATTTGCTATAAATATTGTATATATGGCTTTTGCATGTAGTATAATATCAGTCGTTCTGTCTATTATCATCGGTTCGGTTAAAATAAGGCGACAGAGAACAACTGTGCTAAAAATGTGAATATTTTCAAACTGAACCTTGCAATGAAGCTTTGCTACTCAGTAAGTTGTACCATAATTAGGGAAGTAAGTTAACACGTTTAAGTTTTTGCTCGGAATGAAACGAGCTGGACTTCAACGCTCTGTAATAGCCGTTGAGCGTTAACGGCGAACGTTCACAGATACGTGGATCGCGTACGAGAGGCAATAGTTGGTTAGGGGCAATGCTATCTAGAACTGGGCCATCATTTCAATTATTCGAACAATAGCCACCTAAAACCAGCAGCAACAATGGACCGTTCTCCGTAAATACAAGTATATTTTCATCGTGTAAGCGTTTTAATGCCCCTGTTGATGATACCACATATGCTGACACATATACACACATGATAGGAATTGAGAAGGGGCTTTGGTTACCCATTTTCTGTCCAGCCCACGATTCGATTTTTTTATATAACAGTTATCGATTAGTAGTTGGCAGTATTTAAATAACTCTGTCCTCAGTGTCGTAGCATTTTCTGTCTTCGATAATATCAGCTTGCGGTTTGTAGTAATAATGGCCCCCATTTAGATTTATTTCATTCTGTCCGTTTCGTGTGGCAAACGCTACGATTTATAAGCATTCCAGTATTAACAATGATCACCATTGACGATCATTACAAACACTGCTGGCTATCTCTCGTAGTTGGGCTGAATTATCGATGCCATCACTGCTTCCGTTGTCGGAGTCTAACATAAGACAGGAACTCAGTTCCTTGTTCGTCAGTCACCGGTCGACAAGTTTAACGTAGAGTGGCATGAAACAGCGTTTGATACCGTGTGAAATGATGCGTGTAAAATCGTACAACTATGGTGACAGAAAAATTATCATTATTAGAATTAGAAATTGCTTGATTGGTATGGGCTCGTATACAACCCACCGACACAAGCCTGAGGGCGCCACTCCTAGTTTTTTTGGTTTACGTGTACGTATATGTGTTCATTACAACTCTGCTGTCACTAGATGCGTGCACGTGCATACGTGTGTATGTGCTTGTTAACTAACGCAGCGGCATTACATACAATACAAGGACACGGACACAAATAAGAAGGTTCTAGCAGCATTTCCTTTTGTTCTGGAGAAATAAACGGTGTATAATATATATAGAAGAATTAATACGGGGTATAAATAATCATACTTCTCATTGAAAATCCGGTTACGGTAATAGTAACTAGAACCTTCGGGAAGGTCAACAGGAAGATAGAAACCACAAAATTACTTTGCAAGGTATAATTAAACAGTTATAGACGCTTCACATTTGATAGCTACTACTAATGCATCCCGCAAATTTATAACATATTTCTGAATTGAAGCCGTTCGTACGATTTAAATACGAATAAAGTTATTAAGACTTTTTTTTTTGATCGTCTCGATGTTATAGATTTTGCTTTACGGTCTTAGTTATTAATTCGCTTCTCCGCGAAAAATCAGGGACGCAGTTGCTAATTGCGTTTATATACGCAAAACGAGTATACTCCTTTTTTCCGTTCTATATCTTTTCGCAGACATGGCGCCATGCTTATGTAGATCTTCATAATAGACAAGAAAGCGCGTAACGTTGAAAAATGATCGCGTTGCCAAGCGGCCTTTGCCGCCGTTATCGAGTGGTAAATGAGGTGGTGACGCTGCCCCGCTTGCCATTGTTATTGTGTGTGTGTGTGTGTGTGTGTGTGAGTGTGTGTGTGTATTACAATGAAGTTAATGAATTGTGGGGTTGGATGGTCACTCGCTCTTCCCGTTTCTTCTCCTACCAACTCTTCGTTCTTGTCGTTTCTCTTCAACTTTAAATGCATCGATAAGCCCTACAGATGGTCTGTAAATTTTCCGTAGTGCGCCTTTTTAAATAGCATGATGTTCTTGGCCGCGGCAGAAACGCTAGAGACGACAACACTGGGTGATTGTGCCAACAACCGGGGCTGCAAAAACGGCGCCTTATCATGAGCGAAGTCCAGGGTGGCTTTGGCCTCCAGTCGCTAGGTTATTGTGATTACCAGCTTCCATCCGCTCCAAACTCCACGTTTGGCTATACAACCGTGACAACACATAGTCAAAGGAAATGGCTACAGTTGAAACGGCAGCAGCAGCAGCAGCGGGAGCTCGACAAATTTTTCACTTTTTGACAAATGCTTTTTGCATCGATTTTCGTTGTCAAATTGTTTAAAATGCGCGCGCTCGCTCGCTCGCTCGTTCGCTCGCCTGATCGCATAGCAGAAGGAAGGCGCACGATTGTAGCAGGCGTCTTCCTTCCCTCCTGTTTCGGTGCTTTTTACCTTTTCGCTGCGGTCATGCTCTGCTTTCATCTCGACAAATAGTTCCTACCTACCGTCTAAGGGAGGAAGAAAACATACAACAGACTTGCAATACGACCGAATCGCTTGTCTTCGTTGTAGTAAAGAGATTCGCAGCCAATCTCATTCGGGAAACCGATTTTGGCCCCTTTGACGTTCTGACTTTCTTCAATCCTTCTTCTTAAGTAAATAATTGTAGCCAATAAGTTGAAATAAGATTTCTTAAACAAAAACAAGCGAAAATATATGAGGCGCTACCGAAACAACGTGTGTATTAAAATCCTATATAGGAACATTTTTTACGTATGTCATTAAGTTATTGAGTGTCACGCCTTTTATAATAATCCCAATGATAATTTCTGCTAGCATAAAGTTGTACGAATTAGTAAAAAAAAAAGTTGCTTGTACTTGAAAAAATTAAGTTGCTTACAGCTACAAGTCCACAAGACACATTGACGCAAGCTCCCAAAAAATTAACTAGTCATGTAGATCCAAGCAGGCAGTCGTCAATTTTTAGCGATCGGAACACTATCGCCACTTTTTAAGAAAAAAAAAAAGAAACGAACTAAACGGTGAAGGATTGTCTAGAAGAAAAAGCAGCCAATCGGAAATCGTAAAAAAGGTATATAAAAATAATTGATGTTTCAGTAGGACAGTATAGAACGCGAGCTGTCGAGGTAAGAGACTACAAAGTGTAAGACACCCTTTTCAAAAACATTAGAGAATAGGTTTGATGGTACGTAACGCAACAGTTAGAAGAGTCAGCAAATTCGTGCACAGCTTCGGGATCGCTACGAGCAGTTCCGAGGTAAAAACGGCTAGAAAGCCACGTAGAATAGCAGTGAGCCATCAAGAAAAGAAGGAAGCAAGCTTGGCCAACCTGCTGCGCCCGTACAGCCGCGTGTAGGTGGAGGATTGGCCGCTGTCGTGCTATGCAGATAAGTGATGACTTGGTTGTATTCTAGATAGATAGAATTCGCTCGTATGAGTCTTTATGTCGTCCGCTGATCGTTTGAACCGTCTGCTCGTTCTCTCTAACTGGTCCACAACAAAAAAATGACCATTCTATGGCAACAAAGGAAGATCGTAGCGAATCATGATCATGGCCAGCATCATCACAGTCATCATTATGATGACTAGTGAATCATGGCATAGGTAGGGTTTACAGGTTTGCCAAGTGGCGTTTACAGCGGCGGTCGTTTTAGCTGATCAGTGCGTAATCGCCGTCTATTGAAAGTAAATGTAGGCATTTGGAAGCAAACTGAAATAAGCGTTTGAAAGGTGGTATTTGAATCGCGGATTGAAAAAGGAGATGAAGATAGGCAGAAGTAAGACAAGAATGAACAACAACATAAATGATACCGAAACTGCCATGAAGCGAACGAATGTAAAGCCTTTTGCCCTGGACATTCGGGCAATGATATGCCTAGCAGCATATGCAGACGGGACGGCAAAAGAGAAAAGGAGGTAAACTTAGTTGGTTTCTTTCAGCGTCTATTTTTTTGCCGTCCTTCGCCCAACAGTATGGTTAAAAATCATGTTCCTAAATGTATTCGAGTCTGGAAAAATTACTATTTAAAGCAGTCGGCCCAGACTGGTATTTTATAAAATGTTAACAGATGATGACGTAAGCGGATTGACTAAAGTATATATGTAGCATTTGACGAAATATTATGCTTAGACTGGCGCGGACAGGCAATAAACCAAATTATATACATGTACACTCTATGCGGAAGGGGCAACTTACCTGCCGCTACATGTGGGGCTAGTGGTATTCGAGTTGTGTCCTACTCCTTTTGTATGAGCAGACTGTTGACTCGTTGAGCTACGGGGCTTCTTCGAGAGGTTTAGAGGTCCATCGTTGCCGCCAGTTGTTGACCCGCAAGATAACAGTAGGGATCCGGAGGGGCTGCGAGGTGGGGTCGCCCCAGGGGAGACACCAATCAGTGGACTAGGTCCACCGACCAACCACCCTGGTGCCTTGGAAAACAAAGAAAAATCGATTATGACTAATACCTCGCATGTTTATGATTGCCATTACTATAATAAATTACTATTATTTCTATCACCCTCAGGCTATTTAGGTGCTTAATTGTTGTTGACGTTCAAGTGGTATCGAAGTTCACAGGCATTCGTTTAGCTTCGAAGTCAAGCACTGTTCTAGGATAACTCAAAGATTATGTCTGGATTTAGCTACTTGTAACCGTTGCGTAGCATAACGAGGTATAGGAGCAACCACTTACGTTAGAACTTCGCTTGAAAACCTCGATAAAGCTCTTTATGATGCTTACTAGTCAGTATTTAGGGATAATCCTCTAAGCGTTTGGACGAATTTACCGATTAACGCTTGACAGAAAACCATCACTCGAGAGTGAGTGATGTCGTTGCTTTGTCTATCTAGCTACCCATGAATCTATCTAACGTCGCGTTACATTCGAAGGGGCTGGTGAAGGCATCAGATGTCACACTGTAACCTGTTACCAGCTGAACACCTTCCGTATCCTCAGAGTCTTTTTTCTTTTGGTCGTGCTATCGAGAAGAAGTTCGGAGTAATGTCAATGACAAATCAACTAGATTGAACTATCTGCTTGAAGTATTACTGCTGTGTGTTGCCGCCCCAGGTGCTTTCTCTCTCTCTCTCTCTCTCTCTCTCTCTCTCTCTCTAACGCCGGCTGGTGAAATCGTCAACTAGCAGCAAAAGATGGTGGGCGGCCGATAGTTGGTTGTAGTCGTGTTAGAGCTTTCGCTGATATCCACAGGTCCACGAGCAACTTATCTTTCTAACCTTGTCCTCGACAGTCGACTTCGAAGGATAGTTGCAACGTGACCTGCGTGCCGATTTAGCTGCTTTTCGCTATGCGACGCGCTGCCGGTAGCGTCATAGACATAGTCGACCATGTCTCAATCGCACTAATACTTCTCACGCCCCACGCCCCACTCACTGTCTTTACTTTTTCTACTTCTCCGTCTGTCTGCACGATCCGGCAATGAAGACGTCGGTCTGATGGAATGATGTTCTCCTTCATGGTGTTCGCAGCTTTCGAATAGAGGCATCTCAACACCCTCTTCAGCATGGGCCTTCCTTTCCGTTTGCACACTGGCTTACGGCTTCACTGTGGAATATAACAGGGTTAGGGATCCCGATGACCACTGCAATGACGACAACAACGAAGAACACGATCGTGGTCGAGTGTCCTCGCATTTAGTAACGTCGACTCGTGATCGACAAGTGACAATTTGAGCCAAATAAGATCTTCAGAGACGCCAACTATAGGGATGACGGTGTCATCCTGTAACGTCCACTCAGGATACCTCTAAGCGAAAAAGGAGCAAGTACTTGTTAGATTGAGCCGTAGGCAATGTTCTCGTAAATCATAATAGGCGAAAAAGTGAACCAATTATTGCTAGATGACAGCAAATATGACGCCTAGCTCTTCCAATTCATTTTTAGGGTACTGGTTAGGGGCTGTTTTAATATTCAGCCCCTGAGAGACATCGTTTCTATAAACACGCGGTATCATTTGCGGTTGTTATAAAAATAGATGATCGGACAATATTTGGTTTCACGTGTTAGACTATACTGTTCCGAAGGAACTCAGTTGACCACGGATTACGTTTCTATATATGTGGAAAAGGTTTTCTAGCCGATAGTAGTAGTAGTAATAGTATCGGATATGTAATTGCTTTTGTATAAGGATAAAAGTTCACTAAAGTTAGCTAGGTTAGAACTATTTAATCTGAAATTCGGTTTAATTGTAAATTGAAAAAGGTCACTTCAATAAAAAAGATTTGATTTTTCGGCCAATGTTTATGTTCTGAGCTCGAAAACAGCTCTGGTTTCAATCCAGACTTAAATTACAAGGCATGCAGCGCTTTCGAGCGAGAGAGCAATACGCCTCGATATAGCAACGTCGACTGGCTCACTGTCGCTGATCAGAAGGCGTTTATATATTTGCAAAAATCACACACGAAATGAGCCTATAAACAACTTAAGTGGCCTGAATTAAAAGTGTGATAGCGGAAAATTACAATTATATTGAACAAACGTAAAACTAAAGAACTCTATCAGCAGATGTAAAAATATTCGTTGCATATATATTTGGTCCATTTATCCCAGTGCTATCATCATCTAACAGGCTTCCCCCAAACACCGCACCCGCAGCAACCCCCGTCACTTTCGAATAAAACAATCAAGTTAAGCAGGTGGCAGACGCAGTTCTATTGCACACATAAATAAACGGAGAACAGGAAATGTTAGTTCGAATCGTATTGACCCACCTCGTCGTACAGAAGCTAAAGAAGCGGAAGCGACATGGCATGATAAAGTCAATGTTGTTTCCTTATTGTAGTGAGTGCGATCGTGTCTTTCACGCCATTTTAGAGAGCTTTCTGCGGGACAGTTCTTTATCCAAAACGAAGCAGTAGCAACAATGAAGGCTGCATAAATCACCTCGTTCTTGAAGACGAGGTGATCGAGACGCCATAAAATAATAAAACAATCAAGGTATCCATACGACCGATGTCCTCATTAATGGTGACTAGGACGACTGAAGCACTCAGCCCAAAAGTTCCATATATATATATACACACACATCATACATAGAGACGCTAGTTCGTAGATTTCCATCAGTTATTATCACCAATATCATTATAATAACAACGATAATAACAATCATCAAATCACAATTGTAACAACTAGGCTAATAACGTCGGGCTAGTTTCCGTCCCTCGCTCCCGCTATAGTACGCATAATGCATATAGATCCTACACTCGATGCCCAGTTCAACGTACCCACACGATTTCATAGGACAGAGGATAAAGTCCGTGGATTCAGCAACAGCAGGGTAAATCGCCCTTGACCGATGCCGTTTAGCGGGGTCTTTCGTTGGTCTGCCTACTACTACTACTACTACTACTACTGTTCCTGTATGGATGCTTATGCTTTTGTTATTGGTAAATAGGATTGCTATTGTCGTTATCCTCTGGCAACTATCGTTGTGAGCGCCACTAAGAAGGAGGAAGGAGGCATGCCACCGCTGGCCTCCCCCTTTTCCTCCTCGACCGTAGCAATAGTTTGCCTGGCCGCTCCAGGCATGTCGCTGCTGCTGCTGCTGCTGCTGTTGGTGCCGCTATGGAATTGCCGTGTATTATTCGCACAAGCCCAGTGAGACCCCACCCAGAACATGAAGAGGGGAAGAAAAAGCCATTTAGCAGCCCCTTGAGACACTTCTTGTACACTTGTTCCGCGATTTCCATACGGCTGCGGCAGTGCTGTCATTGCCGCCACCATCGTGCCGCTGCTGGAGCTGAGGCAGCACTATACATTATTATTATATTATACACGGTGCCAGTGTAGATAGTCGCATAGACCGGATTCAGATCTAGCTGGCTCGCTGACTGAATAGATCGGCTCAACAAAAATTACAATAACTACAACCGTGACGATGACACGAACGATATCCAAAAACGGTAAAGAGAAACCTGCAATAGTTGAGCCAGGTTCAAAAGGGAGAACGATTGATGGGGTGTTGCTGGGGGTAGGGGTTTGCCGAAAAAACTGAGAAGGGTTGGGTAAAGTAACCGTGTCGATAGTAGCTCTCATTACTCAACATCACGCACACTTACACATGTTTCGATTTTTCCATCGTGTGTGTGTGTGTATTAGAAGCCGCTGAAAGCAAAAGCCCTTTCGAAGTGAAAAACGTTCCCGTACCTACGTAATAGATTTTCCACTTGTGCTAAGTGGATGTGATCCCAATTTTAGAACAACAAAAAAAAAAACACGAAATAATACAAATATTTTCCTCATACAGAAATAAGTATGTTATTATATAAATGTACCTGATCAAAACCCATCTCAGGCGGTCCTTAACACTATTACCTTCCTTCGTATATCACAATAGAAATAGAAGAATGTAAACATTCGCGCTAATAGAAAATCTTCGATGAGTGCTTTGAATCGCAGTTATTACGCTTCCATACGTAATATACTTGACTGCAACCGTAGATACTCTACGAGATATAGTCGAGGAAAAAAAGGATTAAAGGAAGGTACCAATTTCTGCAGCGAATACTACGTTTGACCATAGCAGGCCTCGATATAAAAAGCAATCGGATGTGAAAATAGTGGTAAATTGCGTCAGTTGACTACTCATTGGTTCAACGTCGTCGTCTCGTTCGTTTTAAGTGAACGTAAACGTTGTCGTCGCCGCCGCCGCTGCTGCTGCGGCGGCGGCGGTGGGCGTCTAAACGCCAGAGACAGCACTAAACACTAAACCTAATCGAGCCCTGTCATTTCTAAACGAACAAGGCTTTTGTTTGTTGTGAAAGCAGTATCTGAAAGTGTCCAGCTTCCAATGCATCGTGTTCTATTATAGGCGGATATTACTGAGCTAGCCATCATCGCATCACCTTGCTTAATGGGACCACAATAGGCTGCCGAATAACTAGCGGTTGTTGCGCGATCGTTATTGACCTAACGTCATGATTGCGCCATTGTTATTTCGTCCTCATTTGGTCCTTTCTTTCCTCCATCCCCTGTTCTTATATGTGAACATATTCACTGTACAATGTACGCATGCGTACGTCGCACGGGGCGATCTATCGCAGCTGTGTGTAATCGAAAACAATTTAGCACGATCGATCGGAATGGGATTGGGGAAGAGGCATGCGGGAAATTTTTTTTAAACAGCAAAACATGCTTTAGGACGATAGCGTTTCACGGCAAGTTCTAGCACGGCCCGATAGCCCTACGTTGTCGCGGGATCTTAACGGACACGTACGGGTGGAGGGACTGGGTGGAAGTCAGAGTGCGCACAGTCTGTGTAACTACTGCTGGAGTCGCTGGATAGTACGAACGATAATGGCCGTCACAGCTCTCAAGACAGCTGGCTAAAGAAGCGGCAAGATGAGGCCTCGTCAACATCTAGTTATCCTAGGTGCACACGACATATTATGATAATTATGATACTAGTGCTAGTCCAAGATAGCTACTGAGTGACGCTAGAGGTGTGATGAGCAATTCGGAGTTCTCGCCGACGGCTACGCTGCCCATTACTGCAGGCTAGCAGTTCCCTTTCTTTATGCCGGATTTCGTATACTCATCTCATTGCCTGCTTGATGGATCAGACGCGAACGCCGACGGTAGCGATACTGAAAGCAACGGCTGCTGCCCCCATTGAAGGTCTTGTTGTCTCCATGGTAGCCCTGGCGGCAGCGACAGCAAAAGTGGCGCCGTGTTGCACTTTAACTGCATATATTATCATTATGTACGTGTATATCATCGTACGCCGACTATGCAGAGTGCTGATTTGTTTGATGCTCGACCGTCAACTGATTGCTAGAACTAAGTTCTCCAGATTTTAGCCGACACGGCCTACGGATCACCGCTAACGCCGTCGTAAAGAACGCAACGAAGAAGCTAAGAACAGGCCAAGCACCGATGCCATTCTGCAGGTATTGCGTGATGGCATGTATCAAACATGGCACTTGTACAAGGCGGTAACAACAACGTGTGTATCTGCTTTGCGCTACAGACACACATATCGCATATACACGTCATTGGTATTATACAGGTCATCAACAGAACAAAGGACGCTACACCGTCAATTGGTTTGTGCGACCCAGAGGAACCCGGACTCGGTGATCGGAATTACATCTTTTCGATAAGTTGAGCCACTCTGTTCTGCTGCCTATACGCTCACAACCAGTTGAAATGTTTCATATGTGAAACACGGGTACGGAAGATAAGACGCGTTCGACGTACACCGGAAAATATTTCTGTTATTCAGACGTTAAATGTCAACATGTCTAGATTTGTACACCAACGTGTTGCTTGTTATTGGCCATCATTAACGGCATTTTTAGTTAAATTGAAGAAATTGGCCTATGAAAGCCCTGTCTAAGGTTTAGCATTTTTATCATTAGGTAAAGGTTGTAGGGTCGAATCGACCGAAACGCATTGTCGCAGTGGAGCATCATCGCTCAACCCTAATGCCAATTATTACAACACCGTTTCTTGCGTCTATACAGAAATAAACGGGTGGGGTAAGGAGTACTAAATTTTTTTTATTAATACTGCACAAACGAAGATTTGAAAAGCAGCGAACAATCTACCTTTCTGTTTATGTTTGTTTTTTTCGTTGACCTCACAAAAAATCCGAACGGTTCGCATTATGAGTATTCGATTTATTCTCGTGGCGGGTGGATTGCAGACACGGACCTGGCACAGTTCAAAGATTCGTTATGTTTAACAATCAAAGCAATAGAACGAAGAACAGCCAGCGAACGTTGTACCGTATTAGAGCTCGAAATTTTATTTTGAATGGACAGACCTCGGACGCCGGCGGTGGCATTAATAAATATTATAATAATATCGCACCACACGGCGAACTGGTCGTCATCGAAGTTCCGCTAGAAGCGCAGTAGAGTATAAGATATCGCGAATGCATTCTTGGCTTCAACTTACCACCGCTGCGCCTCGCTGTGGGGCGGTGGGTGTCACTACGTCAGCTTGGTCTCATACAAATCCCACGGGCACGACATTTAAAATATTTTCCCGTTTTTTTTTTTTTTTCTCTGTCTTTTACTCTCATTAGTTGTCTAAAATCAGTACTCATTCACTGCGCTCCATCAGTATTTCTTGTGTGAAAAATGCCATGTCGGAGGACCTACGGTCGAGGTGATGATTTACAATTAAGGAAATTTATGGAATATATCAGCCTGGAAGATAGCTGTTACACACACAGCTGAAATGGTTGGGTCTAGCTTACAATACGACAACGAGATATTTCGCCATGATGCTGGTGCTCGGCGCATTGGTACGCTACGTTCTTCAAATACCCATTTTCCCCTTTTGAAGCTAAGCAAGCCGCTGACTGCATTGCTAAAAGCGCTATAGTCTAGAAGCACAAGACACGTCTCCCGTATCATTATTCTACGTTTCCATTGCATATGCAGAAGACTATCGAAGTAATCATAGTCACCTTGAGCATGCGCAGAAGCCACTGAAAAAGGGAGCTGTTCTGTATTGAACGGGTCCACGTACTAGTTTACCAATGCTTACTTTTCTTTTTTGTGTTTGTTATTTCAAATTAAAATAGGTTTCACGTGGCTAACGCAAAGCATCTTGCCTGTTTTACCTAAAAATCAACAACAAATCCTGAATGCTGCAATCACTCCTCTCCTATATTCGTTCTATGCCATTAGCTCGTCTTTTTGTCGCCATCTTATCCACGGAATCAACAAACTCCATATGTGTTGTTTATCTTATCTTAATTCTGCGCAACTAATAGCAAGGGTGAATAAACAGAGAGAATGTTTGTTTTCCCATTTCAGCGACTGTTTAGATATTCTGTTTCAGCACACTCTTCTTCGTAATTGTATTCTAATTGTCCTCCATTATCAATGCGTTATGTAGTAGACGTAACTTTATCTCGAGTTTATTCCGCTTCTTCTTCCACACGTACAAAATGTCGTCCTTTGCCAAGGTCAAAAAGCAACCCGTAGATATTTGAATTCTAGCCCTGCAAAGGCTGCTTAAAGCTAGCGTGCTGGAACGCTAATAGCATTTTAGGCCTTGAAGATGCATTTCTGTCTCGCTTTCCAGTTATCGATGGCGACCGCTCGAAGCCATTTTCCGAGTTTGTCTGCAAATTTCCCCTGAACTGGCCAAGAAGATGAGTCGTATTCATGAGACTGTCATCTTCTGCCGTCTTCGCCTAATACGATTTGAGTCAAAAGTTGAGAGCCTGGGCGTTCACATGGACTCCGAGCAAATACAATTTCTTATTACTCTCAGTATTTCGTCCGCAACAGCCCAACGCGTAGCCTCAAGACAGGCTTCTAGGCAGAATCGTCCCAAGTGACAGGGAGCGATGCCTGTACGTCGATGTGAAGCAAAAGAAGAGATGGTAACAGCGCGAGGTCCGCCAAAGCCCAGCGCTAAGTCAGGGTTCCCTTTGAAGAAGGCTACGACTTGCGTTTGGTGGGCCTGGAAGCCTTCGATACACACGGAAATGCTTGAAAAAAGCACGTTAGCCAACAAGGACCTGTATGTGGCCCAATTATATCAAGTAACGAGACTATCCAAAGAGGTACAACTCGATAACTAAAACAACCTCATTATTTACCATAATAACTCGGCCTGCTGGTACCCGCCGACAAATGCATGATGATAATAATATACCACTAGTACTCGAGGTAAATGGAAAAATCGCCGATTTGATTAGGTGAACTATCACTTTCCCACTAACCGATTATAATAGTCCTCATTGTAGCTAATTGACTAAACGGAGCTTCGAGAGTGATATTTATAAGTTTACTCTTAAGCCACCTCTGGCTCACCTAAGTCTATCGGTAACAGGCTGAGAGTACAAAAGTGTATTGGAGGCTTATTTTACCTATCTAAAATAGATAATTACTTTACCACGCTTCAAATATACTACACAGGCCTCATATGAAACCGTTCTCTAGGAGCATATCATTCGATGCTCACCCGTTGCTGCTGTTTTTGTTCCTGTGATGTTGTTACTGTTGCGGCTGGTTTGTTATTGACGTTTATGGGTATCCTCTGCTGAGATTTTAGCTGACTGTCGCTGTTGCTATTAAGCGTTTCCCTTTTCGGGCTCGAATTTTTAGCCATGTTTGCCTGCAGTGATGAGTTATCCTAGAGTCGACACAAAGAAAAAACGACAAGAAATGGAATGACGCAGAGTTTTCTTTTGATTTCAGCTCTGACTCGCTCGGCCTACGCTACAATAAAAACTAGCACATGACCTTTGTTTGCAAAGCCTTGGCTTCGCGTCGAGTTTACTTAGATAAGCTATATATCTTACATAAATATTTACCCTAATGAAGGTCTACGCTAATTGGGCTAACAGTTGCTTCGATAATTTTAGAACAGTAACAGTACCTATACATGTAAAAGTCTTCTTTAGCCAGCATGAACTTAACTTTAGTTTTTATCAGTGCTCCTAGCATAATTATTGAAAGGCAAGGGTTTATTAATACCACAATATACAACCACTGGTATAAAACAACTATAACGCACCGCCCCAATTGATACCTGACTGTCGTATTCCGCTTCTATTTTATATTGCCATTAGCTGTGTCCTGAACATTTTCCGAGTGAACTAAACTTAACATTCTAAAAAAAAGAAAAAGGTTGAAGTAGTCGTCCTGCTCCTAATAAGGACCGATGATGAAGATGATTGTGGGGGGTGGCAGAGAAAAGATAGAGATATGCGTAGCGTTGCAATGGCGTTGGCAACGACGTTAACTGTAAAAATTTGACGCCATCACCGCGACCCTGTTCGTTGTTAGCTAGCTACTTCTTTCTTTGGCTGATCGTTGTTTTCAATGGTATTCTTGTGAAGCGTCGCTTGACTGAGCATTAATCAAGACCTGTGTCCTTTACATCTCCAATTCAATGCTTCACCGAATATCATATGGTAATAATAGTAACCATTGTTATTATTATTATGGATTGTGAATTGTCGATGTCTCTTGTGCTCCGTCATAAAACGAGAGAATGAAGAAGAGACAAGCGCAATAGAACCAAGAAGAAAAACCTGATATAGATAATCGATTTTCGAAAATCTCCGACTAGCAGCCAAGCGTCATCGTTTGGATAGATGTTATTGAAGTTACTGCGTTATTGAGGGTTTCATGTCGCCTTTGTGCTGAACCTTTGACAAATATTATCATCAATGCGATTAGCTACGCCTATTTAAAAGGTTGTGCCTGTTGCGCACTTCTTGCCGGCGCTTGTTGTTGTGACAGCATCTTCTGTTGTTTTTTTACATTTGTGTTGTGACAATATGGTAGCTTGGCTTGGCTTGGCTTGGCTTGGCTTGGGGATGCATTTTGCACAAAAAATCTTACTAGTATCTGCCATTAGCTGTTGGTCAATAGATTCAGATCATTCTAACCAATTTCCTATTTCGAAATAAGCGTCGATGTCGGATTGACGGAGTCAAGAGTTTGAATGAGGCCATAAAATCTTTCGCTGATACAGCAATATTGCTTAGTAACAACAACAATAACAACAAAATGAACTGTTGCCTCTTTACTTAACGCCTAACTATTTTCTTTGAACGAATGACTGTCGTTTAAGACTTGGGGTTTAGTATAGAGTTGAAAGAAGACCATGCCATCTGAATTGTCAGACATATTTTTTTCGATCCGGCTCTGACCGGTATCATCCTGTTGCTTGTCTTAACGGATACTGCCCTTTTTTGACATGATAATAACAATCAACGAACAACAACAATAAATGCATCATTAGAAGTTACAACGACTTGTGGAGTAAACAAGCCTTATTTTGCCTACTTTCGCTAATCCAATCACCATTATTGTTACCAGCCATTCCTTCCGTCCCCGTTCTTGTATTCTGGAAGCGGACAGCTCTTTACCGAGATGGAGGAAGAGGCAAGCAGTGAGTTTTGTTTCCTACTCGTTCGAGATGGGGTGAAAGGTCCTCGGTTGTGTTTGGCATCAGCAGATGGAGCAGCTTCTATAGTCGAACCTCTCGTTCTACTAAGGATCAACAACGACAACAAGATCACCACCGAGCAAGCAGTGCAAGAAGCGGTGAGCCATTTACTCCGGTTTACATTCCCTTTTCGGTCTCTGTCAGAGCATCTTCATCAGTGGGCTATTCAGAGAGTGAAGGATGAATAATAACGCCGTATTTCTGTGCCTGCACGTGTTACGTTGCATGATGGCGGAGGCGGAGGCGGAGGCGGCGGCGGCGGCGGCGGCGGCGGCAACGATAACGACCATCCTTTCATCGCTTTCTTCCTCCACCCGTTCCTTTTAGCAAGGCCCTTCAGTCGTCTTTAGCTAACGCTACCTACCGCCGCACTATCTTCCCATTTACCTACGCTTAGTCTGCTCATCCTGACGGCGTCCAGCCCGGCGATGATGCGTCTAGTCCCGACAATGCAGCACTCTCTACAAACATTATGAGAGAGTGTTGCTGACACCAAGCGCCTTTGCCTTCGAGTATTAACTCAGTGGCCCATAACTTTCGCTACTGACTGCGACTGAGAGCTGTTTCAAAGCTTAGGACCAGACGGTTGGTGATAGTGGCTTTGACGGTACAGCCTGGCAACCGAAGTAGGGATCGACGGCTTGTCTATACCGTTTCCCTCGGGATGGGCTGCGAACGCACTTGGCTGAGTGACTAGTCCTGGTCACCTAGTTGGCTGCAATCTGACTAGTAGTCACGACGGGGTTTCTGATTTCCTCACGACGATGGCTGTAAACGGCTGCTTAGGCTTTTGCGACCTGCTGATAGTAATGTTGATCATGATGGGGGCGTCCAAACCTCTAGAAATGATCATGGGGTGGATTTCGTATCCTTTTCAAACGTGACGCCTTCATGCAACTTTTTCATTCATACCGTGGATTATCATCTATTGATTCTCGCATCCGAAGAGTGCTTTAGCTGCATTGGTCAATGTGAGCCCAATGCCATCTGCTGTCTTCCTCTGATGGCCACAACGAGAAAATAACCAAAATAAAACTAGACACTGAGAGACATGACCCAGACTGGTTAAAACGCATAGTCTAGGATAATCATTTTAATAGTTTATAGTGCGTGCTGATAGGTTATAGATACATAGACTAACAGCGACTTTATGATGAAACAACCTCCGTGCAGTGACCAATATGATTTATCGATAGATAAGAAATTTTAATGCAAACAAAACTATTCCGACTGCAGGAAGACTTTGCATTTTAAGATCTCATTTTCAACCTACATTAGATATATATAACATCAGGGTGTCGGTCTAAGGCCTTTAAAAAACCAAAAAAATATGTATATCTATATATAGATATGCGTATTTAGAAATGTATAAATCACGCAATCTAAGTCCTAAAATACAACAACTTCGGAACAGGAGGGCTTCTTTTGCATAATTCACACTTGACAATTCATAATCGTGTAGAATATAATTGTTTTCCCTATCTAGAAAAATATAGAAATTCGAGGAACACTTCCCCGACAATGGTAAGTCGTTTGACAAGTAGCAATTGAATTTTGTGAAGCCATAGAATATTTCAGGTGATTCAGACTGCACTCGACGTTTCCTCTCCGGGGCTACAATAAGAAGAAGCCCTATAATTGCCACGGTTAGCTTTGCATTATCGTCCCTCCTACTGCAGCTTTCAGAAACGCAGCTACCTACAAGTAGCCATTGCGATGCTACTTTCGAATCATTCTACAGCCTACCGCAGTAAACATTCTGAAAACGTCTAGGGCCTCTTTGAATCGGAGTCCGTGACGCTTATCATACTAAGTTGTCGGTAAAAGTCCCAGCGTTTCTGGCTTCAAATGACAACCTCCGTCTATCTGTCCAAAGCCAAAATGGGCGCTATACGAGCACGTACTAGTCTTTGTACGAAGGCATTCGTATAGATACTGGGGCAGCTCTTTGCGTGCGTACGAACACAAAGCAGATCAATTTCTACAGCGTCTCTAGTTCGTTCGATTTTGCTTTTCAATTTTCTCGTTGTCATCCTTTACACTCTCTAACGTCGTGCACACACAAGTTGCTTACGTGGCATGTTCCTTAGTAAGGGATGCATGTGGCTGTTATTCTGTAGACACCGGCAATGCCTCTTGCTCGCAGCAAGGTGCGTTTCGATAGCTGGTTTGAAAACGACAGGTTTGAAACGCACGAGCACCGGAAGCGCGCAGGGATATAATGAAGAGGTGAGAAACGACGGAACGAGGTAGCTTCGTTGACTACTAGTGGCTGGCCCTGTTGGGATTCGATAGCCTCTTAAGTGGATGCGGTCACGTGGCTTATTAGCTGGCGTACCAGGGGCAGCGCAAGGGACTGTGGAGGCTGTAGGGCGCTCCCCGAACCGACCACGCCCGGGACTTCAAGTGTGAACTAAGCAGCCGCTGCTGTTACAGCTCGTGCGACCAGGCAGTGTGATAGCATATGATGATGGCGGCATGGATGACAAGCTGTTGTACACTTCCACTGCTGCTTGATGGTTTGCGGGTGTGTGCGTGTGTATGAGTGTGCATATTGTATACCCCTCTCGAAGTGTTTCTGACGATGAAATTGCGGAGCCGACAGGAGAACTTACAAAGCTGTCCAGGGAACAAGAGGCTGCGCCTTTGTCAGACTAGCCAATGCCGCCGATTAAAAGCGGCCTTTGGAACGTAAAGCCAGTACAAGCGACTTGAGTACAAAGGAGATACCAAAAATGCTGGGTAAGAAAAAGGGTTTGTTCAGCAGCGCACAACACAATTCCTCGTTCTAACAAAACAACGAATTGCGAATCATTGTGGTACTAGATGAACAAGTTGGGTCACATTTTCCTCTTGTGCTTACGCCATTTTCTCTACGGGGCAGCCGTATAGAAGTAAAACGTTTCGATGGATTATAACTGTTACATGACGACGACAAAAAAATAACGGTTCTATCCACATAGACCGTCTTCTCTGCCTCTAACCCTGAAATTGTCCGAAGTTCCATTACTAAATAACCTATCTAATTAACACACTGCAGTTAACTTGGCGATTTTATTCTATGGCACTCGTAACTGGGCGCTTCTACCACAGCTAATTTTCATAATTACGCTCTGGTATCCACTTCAAACAAAAACACTTTTGACCAGTAACAGTTCAATCAGTATTTGAGTATCAGTCTTGTTTATGTTTATCACGTATTGTTATGCCCTGTTAACGTCACTTCGAAGCATGAAGTATGTTCCCAGTCTCCAATGACGCTGGTACCCACTGCGCGCACTAACAGCGAAGTGGTATCGGCATCAATACTGCTACTGCCGCCGCCGTTCCACTAGCGGACGCCAAATTGACACCCTATTTTAAGTAAACTCTCATGTCTTCATTCGTTTGTCGTGCTGCGACTTTGTCCCGCCGCTATTACACTCACTCTAGGGTTCCTAGCCACCTCATCTCAATGTTTCTCCTGCGTCTGTATATCCGTCCTTCTGTATGTGCCTATCGTGCGCCATACCTATAAGCGTAGATCTCTTTTCTATGCGACTGACTGTCTGTTTGTGTGTGTATATACAAGTATACGTTTGCGGGTCCGGGATGATGATGACGGTAGAGAGCCTTTGCTCCCTCCAGCCGGAACAACGAGCGAAGCCTGAGACAAGGTAGGGACATCAAAGGACTTATTTTTTGCTTGTCCCCGTCGTGGTCGCCCCCTGACACTGAAAAGATCTGCTAAAGACACTACTGTCACCCCTCAAGAGCCAATGACAACCCCAAGAATCCTAACCGCCCTTCCGTTTCCTCCCCACCAGACTGGTGTTTCGTCGTGCCTCTTATCGCCCACTGTGGCGGCGGCGGCGGCGGCTCCGTTAGCTACAACCCCCACCGTCGTTCTATTCGTTAGAATATGTAGTAGTAGTTGCTAGTAGGAAGAAAGCGAGGGATAACCGAGAAGTAGCGTGTGTTCTGACCAGTAAGTACCAGGTCGACTATACAGGATAGCGGAGGCCACACCACTTCGAGCGGCATAGAGGGATTTTGCAGCTCTCAGTTGTTGCAACATGAAAGAGTGTATGTCGGTGTGATTGTGTAGCGTGTATGTGTGAGTCTAGTAATTTTTACCAGTCCACAGTAGCCCCCCAGCGGATAACGACGACAACAACAACAACAACAACTACAATTTTGTCCCCTGGGTCCGTCCCTACCGATCTGGAGCTGCTGCCACGCGTTGCTTAGTATCTCTAATATATAACATCTGGGATTCTTTTTAACCACGCATCTTGTTCTAGATTTATAGTAGTGAGCCAACGACAATTCGAAGACGAAACAAAGCGATGTTGACGGTAACGGCAGCGACGCCAATAGTGGTGATGCCCATGATATCCAATGTGGCGATGCGTATACAGTTATTGCTCTGGGTGGCCAGTACGACCACAATGACAGCAACGACACTTTACCCTCATCAACTTCACATCATCGCCATGAAGCCTACCATTCATATAATAGCAGCAGCAGCACTTCAACTAACTAGCTCACTCGAGCACCACACATTCATCGCCAGGGCTCAAAGACATGCTCACGCACCCACATGGTTACAAAAGGAATTCAACACTGCGAAGCTCTTCTGCTGCTGAAAGTACGGTTAGTGCTGTTGATTATGATGTACATATGTATGTATGTCTGTCTGTATGTTGGAAATAAAGATGTCGAATGCCGGCGGCCTGTGAGCGCTATTTTACCAGCGGGATCACGAGTAGCGATGGCAGAAAGTGAGTGGATATAGAATAGGCAGGGAAGGCATTCGCGTGTACTAGATGGGTGAAGACGGGGAGATGCTGCTTAGCGTTAGCAGTCGATATAACAGCAGCACCAGCTACTGCCCAATGTACACAAAGAGATTAATAATAAGGCGCACTATCAAGTTTGCCGGCGCATTCTTTTGAAAAGACATCTCCCTTATTTTCTCTAGCCCGCCCCGACTAAAGGTTGAAGGGGTTTACTGAAGTGGGGGCTCGGATCAGGGGGCGGAAAGACCGTATCCGACGGTCGTTCACACGATCTGCTGTGCTACGTTGTGTATCCATGTGGGCACGCTCTTAACTGCACTGCCATGGACGCTTATGTGGTATTCACTGAAATAGCGCGCGTGTACGTATGGAACATCCAGTACCCCAACGGCAAGTAAGACGGATAGATCGGTAGATATTGTGTGTGAAGTAGGTTGAGGCAGAAGGAGGAGCAGGTTGCTTGAGGATGTCTAGCATCATTCTGTGGCCGTGGCTACTTTATTTAAATCAGAACTAGCAGCACGAGGGAAGAGCGCGTCAACCTCATACTTCACTAGTGGCATATTTAAATAAATACAATTACAAGGACGAGCTGATAGTTCGTTCGTGGAGGTAACAGTCGATTAACATCAGATGCTTACTTAAAATGTGTATTCGAAACGGGAACATTAGCTACTAGGTGAAACCACTGAGCGTTTTTTTTACTAGCCACACTTGTCTGTGTTCCATTTGCCGTTTGAAGGTTCAACGGTTAGCGGGTTCAGAGGAAGCGTACAGGTAAGTTGAAAACAAAGTCAAAGATACTTAATCTAGATTTTCTATTTGCGTGAGAAAAATAAGCCAATTTTATATTTTTAGGTAACGTAACAACAACTTACTAATTTTCCTTCGAAATGTCGTTGAAGTTGGCTAATCATTTCGGTTAGTAGGCGTTGTTTTTCTAGTAGCGCGAGGTTTGCGTCCAGGTTATTTAGGTTTACATTAAGCTCGAGGGGAGACCCGTTGAAAGGAACCCTCATAGGGCTGCTGAAAAAAAGAAAAGTTAACAATGATTTTTAAACGAATCTAAAGTTATGGCACACGTATCCGATGTTAGATCGCCTAAGTGACATCGTCTTTGTAACGTATCCAGCGTCATTTGCTAGCAATATTTGATAACGTTCTGTCTCTAAAGGTTTTCATTGGAAAAAATTAAGCCAGCCCATGCCAGGTCGGACAATCAACAACCATGGCACCTCTCGCTTTTCAACAAGGAAAGCCTAATAAGGGAACGGGCGTTACATACTGAAATATCAGCAACATTTTGGTGGTTGCTGAACGAATAGCGCTAGCGTTGCGCAGAACATTGGAACAAACGTTTGTCCTTCCTTATTAGCCTACCTAACAGGCTCAGTAATATTCGTATTCTCACCAAGGCTGAATTGTTAGCTGAATTCCTAATACCGAATTAAAGTGATAATCTTTTACGCTGACAATGTTATATCATCAAATCTACGGACGTCCACTCTACTGTTTGATTCATTATCATCGATATTATTTGCGCATCAATGAAGATCCTCGTTGATTTATCGAGAAGACGAGACAATTGTGGAAGGAGTAAACACAGAACAGTGTCTTGACGGCATATCTGCATTCGTATGCGCCCATCATTATACAGGCTGTTCTTGTGTCCTATTCTAAGAACGACTTTGGATTTCTTCGTTTTCGATCAATGGAGGCATACGTACTGATATTGATTCGCAGTGGCTTGTCACCTATTTTCTTCTATCATGTCTTTACATCGATGTGACGTCGCTGACCATTATTAGGCAAGAAACCGGTACGGACGAACAAGCGAGTACGAAAGAATATGCTGCTGCTGCTGCTGCTAGTACTATTTTATTATTATTGACACCTACGCAGCCGGTGCCATGGACTATGGCGGATTGATGTCGGAACACACGGACGATATTATAAGCCGTGCACAAAAGACGCTCATAATCGACCTAGGCAGGGTGTCAACAACCCGAAGACAATCAGGGAACTAACGATATCTGCCGGATCATTGCAGCGGCATTACAATAGAATACGTTAATAGATCTTCATATAGCTGAACGCCGTATCGCATCCAGTGGATTGCTTAAATAGAAGATGAATCGAGTGAGCCAGGCGGATAGAGTATGGAGCCATCATATGTGCTACTTTACAGTGGTTAGCTTTGAGAAAAATTAATATTTTTAGCGTTCGAGACTGCTCATGTTTCGATCAGTCATCCGTAAATTGATCCGCACAATGGCCGTCTGCTAGCCCTAGGATTTTGATAATTTTTCTACTATTTCAATATGGTTCTATACATTACATGAAACTCTACCGTTATAACGGTACTTTTCATTGTTATCGGCCGAATTCCCACGCGGTTCACGGACCGTGACGCAACGGCCTTTTAACTTGCGTCAACGGCTGCTCGTTTTACGCTTAACACAATGGCTCGTTAGCGGCATACTGACAGCCAGAAAGGCAATGGGGCAACAAAAGCGCGTAGATCGGGAGGGCATTGTGTTATCCAAGGTGCTCATTGTATCACAATAACAATGTAAGCGAAAGTAGTAAATTACATGGTTTGTTTCCTTCCTTTGCACTTGAGACGACAGTCGTCGTAATTGCCTGATGTTGTTTCTTCAGCTGCCTCCCGCTTCACCGTTTCCCTGCGGTATCTTTGTTGTTCTGTCTCTCTAACTCGTGTTTGTCGTGTTTGAGTAACAACAATACAAACGATAACAGAAACAGGCTGACGCGAACAATAGAACCAGGGGCGGAGCTGCGATAAAAGCTGAGCATGCTCGCTGTATGCGGTTGTGGCTTATACAGAAGTGTGTACAATGAATGGCCCTTAGCCAACACGATTTGTCTCCCAACAAACTGTTAATAGCGGATACGATGGGCCTTTTCGTGTGAGCCCAGGAGCAAAGTAGGTTCCACGCAATGGCAAAAACATTGGTAGCATTCGACAATGCCGCAAGTAGTTTGCCATAGGAGATAACATTGGACCAAACAAAGTATGATTATAATTATACGAAGACGAAGGGACATTAGCTTGAATGAAGCAGAAAGAAGACGATATGTACACAGGTTACATTCACGAAAGGAAACATCTCAACTTTTATATCGATTTCTGGCCTTTTTTGAACTTTTTGAGTATGATTAAAAACAGCAAGAGACAGCATACTCTTGTCTATCTCAATGATCCAACAGCCCATCTACTGGTAAGCTGGTCTTAAGTCGATTGTGGACATTTTTTTTTCACGAGCGCCTGTTTCGATTAAACGAATAGGGTAAATGTGATTATGCAATGGAATACAAAAAAAAAAAGTGCAAACTTTCAAATAAAGTTTGCGACCCAGTTTCTGCGAACTGCTTAAAATGAGGCTTCAGAATCAAATATAGTTTGCGTGTATAGCAGGTGCTTTCTCCTAAACACATATCGGTATGTAACGTTTCTAAAAAAAACTCGGTGTAACATATAAACGCAAATTATTTTTCCTCTGTTTTCAGTTTCCGTCTAACCCAATTAGAACAGCTGTTTGAATGTTTACCTCTTTTTTCCGTCCATATTTTCTCTTACCTTGCAAGTTGAATGGCCATTTCGTGGTCGGATTCACTCCAGTCTTCCGACTCGCTCAACTGCAGCAGCAACAACAAGATCAAATACATGAAGTTAATTTCTCATAAAGAAAGATAAGCAAAATTGACAAAGGACAAAAATAATAAACTAAAAGTTGTATCGTCTTCTATTTAACCACATACATATATATTCTATATTCCTTGTACCCGCTAAAGCGCTGCAGTCGTTGTAGTAATAGCAGGAGGTGGCAGCGACAACTACGAAATTGAGTAACATGTGTTATTACCAAATGCCCTCCGTTCGGGAAGAAAGATGGCCTGAACAGGCTTCCACCGCCATCATTGCTGCTTCAGCTTTACAGGACCCACTACTGTTGTTGGTGCGGCATTAAGACTCGCCATGCTACCGGGCACCGCAGACTCATTTTGCTTGGCTACGGCTCCACCGTCCTGGCAACTCCTCTTCTCTTGCCTAGACTTTTCCTCTCGTCATCTTGTGCCTCACTGCACTCTCTACCCGCATCGTCACTGTGCGTGTGTGTGCGTTATATGTTGCAGCCACGGTAGCAGGGGTAGCGCATCGAACTTCTCGGCGATGCCTCTTGGTTTCTTAGGTTTCTCTTCTTCTTTTTTGGCTTTGCACGGGCTAAACCTGACCAGAAAACCCAACCACCTAGGTGTCCCCTCCTTTTTTTCTCCTTGTGATATCGCTGCTGTTTCTGCTGTAGAGGGTCGAATAAGTAACTAAGACCCGCCGTTCCCCGAGCTATAGGATGTTTCTTTTCGGTGTCGATCGACATTTCCTCAACGACGACTCTTCTCTCTGGATGAGATAGCGCGCCGGATGGAAACATAGAAGGAGGGAAAAAGGGATCGCTCTTCAACAGTGGCTGGCGGCACTGCTAGAGCAGCTCCGACCGGCTTCGGTCGCTACCGCTGGCGTCGCGCCACACTCCGCCGTCTGCACAGTAGGTCGATCTGCCACAGCCAACATCGGCACGACAGCAGCCACTCCTCCGCTATCAGCCATGGGCCCCGGCAAAGCGGCTCCCTCTTCTCCTGGACGGGCTCCGTTTGCCGAACTGCTGCTGCCTTTTCGTTTCTACGTCCTGCATCCCTACACTCCCTTATCCCTAGCCCCTACCGTACTTCTGCTCTGTTCGTTGGACTAAGATCGGCCTGATCCTTCGTTAGCCCAGAACCCCCGAAAGACTCCGTGTGCGTTTCCTTGAAAGATCCCGGTTCTCCCTGTTCACTTCTTCCCATAGTTCTTCCCTTCGAATCCCTGGCAGGCTAGTCCCGCCATAATCAGGCTTTAGCTGTCTATCAGGGCCGAGGGTACAAAGCTTCGCAGAACCCAGAGAGCAGCAGCCTGACGGCCAACAAGATACGAGGACTTCGGCATCCCTCGCTCTCCTTTGTCACACACACACACACATACACAACGCCACATACGAGAAGGGAAATGGCCAGGCGTACACCCACTCACTGCACAAGTTAGTTGATCGGTCGGCTAGTTCAAAACAGGACCGCGCGGCGGAGGAAGGCCCCGGCGAAAAATAGGTCCTCACACGATCTCAGGCAACTGAGCCGCCCGGCCCGGCCTGGCCTCAGCACTAAACCCTGCTCAAAGGTATAGGACGTATGGCGCACAAGGGACGTTATTGCCACAGGCTGGGGGTGTCGGTGGAAGTACGCTTCATATCTTCGTGATGGACCGACGGGGCCACCCGGAAAGGAGCCGTTTTCCCGGGGGCCTGTTCTGTTGGGCTGGGCCTGTATTGTGGGCACAATGGGAGAGGGAACAGGAGGGAAGGCATTGGCTCCACCTCCAGGACGACGCACGAGCCTCATTGTGTTCCTATGGAGACTCCCCGGCCTGCACCCCCTATGATCAACCATATCCTTCGTACACAGGGTCTCTGTTGACGAGGGTAGCTTCAACAATAGGAGACGGATAAGGCCACCGTCGACCATGGAACGCAGGTCAAAGAGGACCGCCGCCGCTACTACTGTTCGAGGGAGAGAAACTTTTACAGAGTACGGACGTCAAAGAGAAGCCTTGCAGCATTAAATCGAATCGAGCTAGCTGCCTCCCTCTATCTAAGCTGCAGGCCTGCTGTGCAGAATAGAGCCAGGGAAAGCAGGCAAGCCAGCAAGCCGGGCAAGAAGGAGGCTAGAATAGTGCGGAAGATCAGAATGCAGACGCCAATGAATTTTTCAGGACGAACCCTTTTAGGCAGGCCTCTTCATGGGTCCTTGTCATGCACTCACAAGAACGACGACTTAACGCCGCTCAGGCCTTCGCCGTGGAATCAGTCTTCCTACGCATGGAATTCTACCGGTCGTAATTTTGTCAACGGTGCCTAGTTAATGATTTTCATTACGTATATATAATTCGTACTCAGTCCGGTAGGCCAGCAGCAATAGAAGAAAGCTAAGCATTTTATAAAAGAAAGAAAGTTAAACAATTTACAAAGAAATTTTTATTGAACTAAAATATTGCCCAGCTGCATTTGTGAAGTCGTCAGTCTTCTCGCTATCAGAATGGTTAAAAAAAAAACCAGCCGCTAAAAAAGCGTGAAGTTGGCTAAGAGAGGAACAGCTTAAAGGAAAGACAGCAAACCGAACGACCTATTGAAGGAGTGGCCAGCCTGAAAGAATAAAGCTGAGACAGCATTACTGATGAACAGGGCTAGGCGATGTTAAATAGCAATGCCAATGGTTAGAGCCATAGCGATAGTGGCACTGAGTAATTTTGCCGCGTCAAAGGTGTTAAATTTAGCAACTAATCAAGCTGGGCCACTGAGTGTTGTTTCCTGTCAGGGCTATCCATCTAGCGATAAGACAAATATCTTGCGAACAAAAGATTTTAAAAAACAAGCGGAAGAGGAAACAGCATCAGCTGAGTGAAGTAGTAAAAAGGAAAGACTGTTGAAAAGGGCCGAGAAGCGCGATAAAAGCGAACGGACATAAGACAAACGTCGAACCAAGAAAAATGAGAAAAGCTGTACCGTGCAGAATTCAGCGGGTTCGAGAAGTTCGCTAGAAGAGTAGACATGATCACGCTATGGGTTCGCCCTAAAATGCCAGATCAGATGCCCGTTCGCTCGTTTCAGTACGGCAGCTGGATGGAGGGGTAGCGTCACCGTTGCCGCTGCTGCTTGGATGCACGAGCAAGCACAAGAGTAAGCATGTTAAAAAACAGTTACAAGCCAACGACGCGTCCATGCTAGAGGTAACAAAGCAATGGCGGAACGATTCCGTCGTTGTCAAGCGATTACCACCCGCAATCAACCGGCTGAATTTAGCGAATGACCCTTGTCGGTACGTCGAGCCAAATTGTCATCGTCATTATACGAAGGCAAATAGTACCGAATAGCCACAACCCAGAAGGGGACCGGAAATGGTCAATTAGTGTAGCTTCATTTCAGCCGAGGCAATCAACTAGCACCAAACATAAGTGACAGGCACGATTTAGTCCGTCAGAGTAGCCCAACCATCTGGACAGAGCAGACGTCTCAATATGACCTACCTTTCTTTGTACTATAGTACCATGACAACTTTTAGAGTAAGTTGTCATGGTACTATTATTTGTCGGTATTGTAAATCGATTAGAATTCAATGTGTCATGAGGTGGTTCCTTGAAGACAGTTCCACTGTTCTATTTTAGCTCAACTATTTCTCAATCACTCAACGTGATTTGATAACTTGTACTTTTTCTGTCTATATTTGTATGGGTCACATTAACTTACCCCTGCTGATTTTGCTCTCTAAATTAGTATCCCTTGATAAGCTAGTTTTAAAACCTTTAAACATTTTTCGGCATTTTTTAATTACCTAACTTAGATTTACAAATAAACGAAGCCGGTAACAAAATGATAGGGACACATATGTTTTAAGCAAAGGAATTACTTATAGTACTCAATGTAAGCATTAATGAATTACTTTTGAAAATTGTTCATAGCTTGCTTTAATCAGTGTCGCAGCTTTAATCCTCAAGTGTCTTCCTCGAACACTGATCCCACCTTAAGGTGACGGAATGTAAAGAGTATGCTCAGTGCCTGATGTCTCGAAAAAAAACTATTGCTATTGCTGCACTTTATAACGGGTCTTGCTAAATGAACGTTGATTTGCTATGCTACATTACAGGAAGCATATTGTCCGGTGTTGCTCTAGCGAGAGCATCCTAATCGGCGTACATAACCCTAAAAGTCGTAGGACCTTAGATGGAGGATCAATTCACTGGCAATGGTGAGTAAGTGCTTGCAGCAGGATTTTCGATACACAAACACGCATTGACTCCGCATCCCTGGGTATTCAGCACTCGATCTTTGGCCTAGCAAGCGACGGTGACAGCAGCCCAGTCATCACCACAGCTATGATGACTTCGGCTGCACCGCAAAGATGTCGCTCATTCGTGTGCGCTCGAGCAGTGATCGGACTTGCAAATGAGTTTCCCGTCTGGGCAGCAACCTGCAGATGATTTCAAATCAAGGGAACGAAATGCGCCGTCACACTTACTTGCCCACAGTATATACACATCTAGAAATATTGCAGCAGTAGCAACGGCAGCGGCAGGAAAGATACGACGACTACGAAAAGAACAACGCGTTTCCATCTCGCAGACACACAGCCACACTAAGCGAGTGAACGTAGCAAAAAAACGTAGAAAAACCGTGTGAGGCGCCTTCCTGGCGCTCTCCCTAGGCGCTCTCTGGCGGCAACAAATACCTATTGCATATTTTCGTTTTGTAATCATATACGACAATCGCGTGCAGTCGGAGACGACGAAGCCATGTCGATGATGGCGATCAAAACATACCAAGCCACCTCGCGTCGAGTAAACAATGAATTCATAGAAAAACGAGCTAATGAGTCTGCTATGTGGGGGCACATATTGGGGCCGACGTGCGACAGACTGTCCGCGCAAGGACTGCATAAGCTTACCGAGGACAATAAGACCACTGTGGAACAACAAGCAGAACAAAGGCTACAGCTATTATACCTTTATATAAAGCTGAAGTGCCGAATATGTATTTATGTGCTTACAGTGCACT